TAGATCGAAGAAGATTAAAGATTCTGTTTGGATTGATTTAAAAGTTGGTCAAACATACTTTCAAGTCATTTATAACTCTTTGAAGTGTTTGACAAAGTTTAAAATAACTTAAAATAAATAAAAAATGATAAAAATCAGAAGTAGATCTCCTCCTACTTTTTATTTTTTGACTTAAAAACTATTTTTTTTAAAATTCAAATCCAAACTAGCTTTAATTTGGGGGAGATGAGGATATGATCTTAGATATGAATGTAGGGAGGCAAGGATTAGGGTAAAAGAATAATATATAGCTGGTTGTTGTCGTACTTATATGTTGGAGAGGCAGGAAGCTAGTCTTTTATTCTCGTCTTCTTCTTATTTAGCGTTTATATAGCATCTTTTTCTTTATATCTTGGTTGCATTTTTCTTTCTATCTTGCTTTGATTATATCTTTTTGAGTCAAGGGTTTATCGAAAATAATATCTTTATGTTGTAAAAACCAGAGTAAGGTTTGTATATATTTTATTTTAGACTCTTTTAAGAACTCACATATAAAATTATACTGAATATATTATTAATATTAAATAAAATGAAAGGGATCAGCTATGCCATATTTTATTCCACCATGGTAACTAAACGACCCCTAAGGCCTAACTATTGACTTCAAAATTTGACTTTTGTTGTTGTTGTGTTGTCCCCTCTGGAAGGCTGGAGCAGTAGCATTACACCAAATACTGTACCAATTGAAGTTCCAATGATTTTTTTTTTTCAAATTAAAATTCTCACAATATGCAGGTAACCTTTTCTTCTAATAATAATAATAAATAAAGGAACCTGCACAATATTGCCTCCTACTTTGTGTGGCTTGAAATGAAATTCAATTACCATGTTCCCAAATAAAAAAAACGCACTTACCCTGTAACAACATCAAATGAGAAGTATTTTTACCCCAAGTCTCATATTAATAATTTAATTGATGTATAGTCTTAGGTCTTATAATATGATTTGAAAAATAAGTAATTAATGCAGAGAGTAAATTAAAAAAACATAATTATCTTTTTTTGATTTATTAAAAGTATTAATAAAAATTGAAAATATACTTTAAAATATTAGATAAATAAAAGTAAACAGGGAGTAGTTTAGATGCTATCTCCCAATATAACAAATAGCTTACACAAAATTACTTTTCCCTTAACAGTACACAACATTTCCACCACTATTTTGCTTGACCCAAAAAGTAGTTCTAGTGGCACATCAAAATTCATGCGGCTAATTATATCCTCAAATCTAAAAACAAAAAAACACAAGGTCCCATTGACTTTGCAGCATTAAATTATCAAGGAGTATTGCATGATAAAATGACATTTCTCTTGTCTTTAATTAATGATTTTGAATTCGAGCTATTTTTCCCTTCAATAGGCCCTATTCGGTACAAATTTAAATTAGTCAGATGAATAAATTTCAAATACCAAATGAATAATCAGGAAACAACCTTTGCTATAATAAGTTGTGAGATGAACTGTAGTACCGGACACCAGGTAGAAAACATAGAAAAAAAGGAAAGAAAAATCAAGAAGACACTAAAACAAAGGTTTCATTAATACAATTTTGTATGTTTTGACAAAGCAGAGTATGAAATCAAATGTCTTTCTGGTCTAAGTGGTCTATGGGGACTAAAATTAGAAATATTACAAGGTATGATCCTCAAGCTCTTCTGTAATGGACACAATTTAATTTGCATCCTAAATAATACACACTCCAATATTGATCTCTGATTAGGAAGACCATTTATACAATTTTTTTCAACATTAAGAACTCCATTATCGATCAATTCCCTACATAGTGGCCCTACTTTTGTAAAATAGTTATATGACAAAGTAAAATTCACTAAATTTTTTAGTGAACATATCACTTCTGGAACTTGTCCATATAACAAATTTCCAGCAAAATTCAATTGTTCCACACTTTCCAAACACCCTAATGAACGTGGTAATGGACCAGTTAATGTGTTAAATCCAACGTCGATCACAATTGCTTTTTTCAAAAGGCCTAATTCATAAGGAATGCAACCAGTGAGCAAGTTGTTCAAGAATAAAATTTCCAACAAATTCGGAGCTTGTCCAATGCTACGTGGGATTGGACCAACGAATTTGTTGTTGGCTAAGGTTAAATAATAAGCAGGGGTGGATCCAATGTTGTCTGGAAGTTTTTGAATGAAATTGTTATTGTTAAGAAAAAATGCATCAAGATATTGTACGAAAATTTGAGGTGGGATTATTCCTGTTAGGAGATTGTAACGAATATCCAAGAAAGTTAGAGTCTTGATATTGAGAATTGACATGGGAAATGTACCGATGAATTGGTTGTTACTAAGATCAAGTTCGTAAAGATATGGAAGATTTGAAATTTTCGAAGAAATTATGCCTGAAAAGTTGTTGGTGTTAGCATGAAATATGGCTAAGTCCGGGAGTTGATCAATGAAACCATCTAATGTAGGTGCACTAAGTTGAAATCCATTGAAATCTATAGAAGCAAGAGAAATTGCTGAGGAATTATTAGGTGGATTATCACAATAAAAGCCTTTATAATTGCAAATATCAGGGCCTGTCCAAGTTTTTGTGACACCAAAAGGATCAAGAGTAATTGTGTTCTTGAAATTTTGTATTATTGGGAATATTAGAGCTAGACTTTGGTCTATGAAGGTTAAATTTGGTGCTGGTAAAGGTGGTAGTAATTGGCAATTAATATTGTTGAGAATTGAAAAAATAATGAGGGAATAAAAGATCTTCATGGAATTGGAATTTTTTTTGTTACTTAGTGAGGAGAGATGAGAAGAAATTGTTTATAATGATTTTCTTTTATAGCATAAAAGATGCATGGTATTAATTCTTTTGGTTGGTGAAGTTTTGAAAAAGATGAAAGGACTCATGAGTTCACATTGTAGTGGGTAATTGGAAGAATTTATAGTGATTGGTCTAGTTATTATCCAATGAGAAAATTTCATAGTAGGCGGTATTTTAAGCTCGAATTATTAATTATCATGATAGTTTAGCTAATTATCAAATCTAACATTAATAACAATAGTTTACTTTTAAAAAATTGTCTGTGCATCGATTCGCTCTGTATCAAAGTGAACGGATACAAATCAAAATTTTAGTTATCGTTATGTAGTGTGATTTTTTTAAAACTCTAATTGTTTCAAGTAAATACAATAAATAAAAAGGAAAAACAATTAACTTTTTATCTATTATAAATGGGGGAGTTAAACAAAGATTCCAGAAAGTTCTTGCTAAATGGGATTTTAAAATGTTGAAAGTGGAGCACCTCATCGGCCATAAACCAAAAGAATCATGATTATTAGGTAGATGAATGAATATGTGGAATTCCATTGCGCAAAATTAGTGAGGAGTTTAATGTCACGCCTATGTTATATTTATTTTTTTAATACTTTTTTTCTCATGCACACAAAAGATGATAAATTACTGGTATAAATATAGTGTGAACACAAAAAGGAGCAATAGGAATAAAGATAATCTCTTATTAGGAGTGGCAGAGCCATAATTTTTAATAAGGGGTTCAAAATTTGAAAAAATGGACACACGAAATAGCCGAAAGGGTTCGACATCTACTATATATACCTAAAAATTATTTTAACTATGTATAAATAATATAATTTTCCGCCGAAAGAGGCTATAAGGTGGCTCCGCCACTGCTTATTAGGCTATTCACTTGAAATTTTTATGTTCACGTGGTTTATTAGGAAATATTAAAATAAATTCGATAGATAGTTATCCTAAATTCAGGTACTATAATTTGAATTATGACCTCTTGACTATTGTTTGTTCTAAATTAGAGTGTCTAGTTGAGAGTTGAGTCATAATCCTAATATTACTATGGCTCGTTTGGTGTGAGGGATTAAAAATAATAGTGATGGGATAAGGAAATAGTGATGGAATAATTTTTTTTTATGTTGTTTGGTTGCCATGTTTGGGATAACTTATCCCACCATTTATATCATGGTGATGGGATAAGTTATCTCATATACATGGTGGGATAAGTTATCCCATGATAGCTAACCCAGGATAACTTATCCTGGGATAACTTGTTTCCAACCAAACGACCCCACTTAGTAACACGACCAAATGAAAGACGAAACTTACCACTAACGAGATCTCATTATCTCTAAGGGGTCGTTTGGTAGAAGTTAGAACATAAATAAATCATAATAGGAGGGAAAAGGGCCAACGACTTCTCATAAGGATTTGGTACCTGGGCTCGCAGAAGAATGGCTGGTTCGGTGTGCATCTTGGCCCAACTTAAGCGAAGAAATTCTACGCCAATGTTGGGCTGATTGCAGACTAGGCCCAATATAACTATGGGCCAAGTTCTGGATCTCTAGCTTAGCCACGCATCGAAATGAATGTGGGCTATTGGGCCATGACACATGTAAAAAACAAGGATCTCTTGTCCACTTACAACTACATATAAGAACATTACCTTTTTCAGATTTTATATGTAAAAATAAAAACTTCTTGTAAAAATACATAATAAAATTAGAAAAATAAATATTATAAATGAATTACGAAACCAATTCTCCTGTCCAAAAACCGTGATCTCATTCAGAAGTCTTACCTAGTGAGACTCCAATAAACTTCTTGTTGGCTAGTCTTGATGAGTGGTTCAGAAAAAATTGACACTTAATTATGATAAATTATAGTGGCAGGGAGTGAGTTTTTTTTTTTTTGGTTTTTCACCCTGTGGTTGAAGCTCAACTAAATTCGGATCACGCACGTTCCAATAGGATTTTCTCAATGGAGAAAGTCAGTGTAGCAAGTCAACTATACATCTGTCCAAATTTTAATAAACAATTCAAACCAATCACTCTCTAAAACCTCAACCAGACAGAAAGAAGAAAACATTGGAAACTAATTGCACATGACTACTAGAAAAATAAGACAAAGATCAATCCCATCTAGATATAAAAAAATCATATAAACTATAGAATTTTTACTTTTCTTGCACATCACTCGTATTAAATTGTAGATAACCGTCAGCAATGACAACTTACATACTTTTGACAAGTAAATACAGCATGAAACATTAGCTAAAACCAGAATCCAACATTTTTTAAATCTTGGTTTGACTATAAAAAACTGGATGAGCAAAGGCTAGAAATACAACAACTCCTATTTTCTTTCAACATTCTTTTTACATACTTATAGCAACTATGGATAAAAGAACAGATCAACTTCATGTATACTTTTTGCCAATGATGGCTCCAGGCCACATGATACCATTAGTAGACATGGCCAGGCAATTTTCCAGGCATGGTGTGAAGGTAACAATCATCACGACTCCTCTCAACGCGACTAAATTCTCAAAAACAATCCAAAAAGATAGAGAGCTTGGCAGTGATATTAGCATCCGGACAATTGAATTCCCTTGTAAAGAAGCTGGATTGCCAGAGGGCTGTGAAAACTTAGCTTCTACTACTAGTTCAGAAATGAGTCTAAAATTCGTCATAGCCTTGTACTTGTTTCAACAGCCAGTTGAACAGTTCATGGAGGAAGATCATCCAGATTGTCTAATAGCAGGAACTTTCTTCTCATGGGCTGTTGATGTTGCAGCCAAGCTGGGAATTCCAAGGCTAGCTTTTAATGGCACTGGTTTACTTCCTATGTGTGCTTATCACTCTTTTATGGAACACAAACCTCATTTGAAGGTTGAATCCGAGACGGAAGAGTTTGTCATCCCTGGCCTTCCTGACACAATAAAGATGTCAAGATCAAAGATTTCAGAACACTGGAAGGATGAAAAAGAAACCCCAATGACTCCAATAGTTAAAGATTTTATGCGAGCAGAAGCGACTAGCTATGGAGCTATTGTAAACAGCTTTTATGAGATGGAACCAAATTATGTACGACACTTCAGGGAAGTAGTAGGGAGAAAAGTGTGGCACGTTGGTCCTGTTTCGCTCTGCAATAAAGACAATGAAGATAAATCACAAAGAGGCCAAGACAGTTCCCTTTCTGAGCAAAAGTGTTTGGATTGGCTCAATACCAAGGAACCAAAATCAGTCATTTATATATGTTTCGGAAGCATGTCCATCTTTTCATCAGATCAGTTGTTTGAGATAGCAACCGCTCTCGAAGCATCAGACCAACAATTTATATGGGTGGTGAGGCAAAATACAACAAATGAAGAGTGGATGCCAGAAGGATTTGAAGAAAAGCTGAACGTGAACGGACGAGGTTTGATAATAAAAGGATGGGCACCTCAGGTGCTTATCCTTGATCATGAAGCTACGGGAGGTTTTGTGACTCATTGTGGATGGAACTCATTACTCGAAGGAGTAAGTGCCGGAGTGCCAATGGTCACATGGCCGCTATCAGCTGAGCAATTTTTTAATGAAAAGCTACTAGTAGAGATATTAAAGATTGGAGTACCAGTAGGTGTTCAGGCCTGGTCTCAAAGAACAGATAGCAGAGTCCCAATTAACAGGGAAAACATACAAAGAGCAGTGACCAAAGTGATGGTTGGTCAGGAAGCAGAGGAGATGCGAGGCCGTGCAGATGCTTTAGGAAATTCGGCTAAAATGGCTGTAGAGAAAGGCGGATCATCTGACAATAGCTTGATTTCCTTACTAGAAGAATTGAGGATGAGGAAGAGCAGCTCCAACTGATGGGAATTTGTTTAAATGTATTGTTACATCATTTATGTGTTAAGACAATTTGGACTTTCTTTGCTATATAATGCTAGCGTTTGGCCATAGATTTCCAAATATTTTTGGTAAATATTATTTGAATGAAATTTCACCATGTATTTGGCCATAATATTTGGAACACACATTTCACTTTTTAGAAAAATATGATTTATATCCATAAGTTTTAAAAATTATCAAAACTAACTATAAGTTTGTATTATAAGTCAATTGGATCTTCGTTACAACAAATAACAATTAGTGTCCATGACACTGGAGCAATGTGGTAGTTTGGAGTGAGTGTAACAAACATCATTCCATATATCGTGAAGTAGACAAAACACATGATTTTATTACCTTGAGCCGATTAACCATATCATCACTTTCATATTTATTGAATATTTCAGCACTACTTTGGTGTTCACGTAAAAAATTATGTAATACAACATAAACAACTACTATAGAAGGTGTTTTTGTAAAAGATAAAAGTTTGGTGAAATTTCAAAATTTTCAAAAGATCCCAAATAATGAGATTTAGCCCAAATACTAAAAAAAACTAGTATTTGGGAATTTGGGATATTTGCCAAAAATATTTGCCAAATAATGGAAAATTATATGGACAAACACTATTTATCAAATTTTCCCCAAATTTTACTTGGAAAATCTATCGCCAAACGGGTCCTAAATATTTGGAAGATAAATCAATCATAAATAAAATCTGAAGAAATGAGAATATTTTATTGATAAATCAAATTAGTGCAATTTTGTTCCTCCCTTGATTCTTCTCTCATAAGATTTATCCATGATTTGAGAGCCGTTAGTAATATATTTCTTAAACTAGGATGATTTGAATTTATCCTTGATTCAAGGGTCGTTCGTGGTGTATTTCTCAAACTAGGATGATTTGGACTTGATCTCCATAATTCGAGGACCATTAGTGTATTTCTCGAACTAGGATGATTTATACTTTTGATCTCCATAATTTGAGGGTCGTTAGAGGCGTATTTCTCGAACTAGGATGATTTGAAATTTATCTCTATTGATCTTTGTGAATATTTCATGAATTTGCGAAATATTTGAGATCTTTTTTAGAAAGACAATATTTGATATCTTCATGATCTATTTGAGAATATCCAACAATGTATGAGATATTTGATATCTTGATCTTTATAAATAGTCAGAGTTTATGGGATATTTTCAGATTTATTTGATCTCCATTGATCTTTGAATATTTGATGAATTTACGAAATATTCGAGATTCTTTGAGAAAGACAATATTTGATATCTTCATGATCTATTTGAGAATATCCAACAATGTATGAGATATTTGATATCTTGATCTTTATAAATAGTCAGAGTTTATGGGATATTTTCAGATTTATTTGATCTCCATTGATCTTTGAATATTTGATGAATTTACGAAATATTCGAGATTCTTTGAGAAAGACAATATTTGATATCTTCATGATCTATTTGAGAATATCCAACAATGTATGAGATATTTGATATCTTGATCTTTATAAATAGTCAGAGTTTATGGGATATTTTCAGATTTATTTGATCTCCATTGATCTTTGAATATTTGATGAATTTACGAAATATTCGAGATTCTTTGAGAAAGACAATATTTGATATCTTCATGATCTATTTGAGAATATCCAACAATGTATGAGATATTTGATATCTTGATCTTTATAAATAGTCAGAGTTTATGGGATATTTTCAGATTTATTTGATCTCCATTGATCTTTGAATATTTGATGAATTTACGAAATATTCGAGATTCTTTGAGAAAGACAATATTTGATATCTTCATGATCTATTTGAGAATATCCAACAATGTATGAGATATTTGATATCTTGATCTTTATAAATAGTCAGAGTTTATGGGATATTTTCAGATTTATTTGATCTCCATTGATCTTTGAATATTTGATGAATTTACGAAATATTCGAGATTCTTTGAGAAAGACAATATTTGATATCTTCATGATCTATTTGAGAATATCCAACAATGTATGAGATATTTGATATCTTGATCTTTATAAATAGTCAGAGTTTATGGGATATTTTCAGATTTATTTGATCTCCATTGATCTTTGAATATTTGATGAATTTACGAAATATTCGAGATTCTTTGAGAAAGACAATATTTGATATCTTCATGATCTATTTGAGAATATCCAACAATGTATGAGATATTTGATATCTTGATCTTTATAAATAGTCAGAGTTTATGGGATATTTTCAGATTTATTTGATCTCCATTGATCTTTGAATATTTGATGAATTTACGAAATATTCGAGATTCTTTGAGAAAGACAATATTTGATATCTTCATGATCTATTTGAGAATATCCAACAATGTATGAGATATTTGATATCTTGATCTTTATAAATAGTCAGAGTTTATGGGATATTTTCAGATTTATTTGATCTCCATTGATCTTTGAATATTTGATGAATTTACGAAATATTCGAGATTCTTTGAGAAAGACAATATTTGATATCTTCATGATCTATTTGAGAATATCCAACAATGTATGAGATATTTGATATCTTGATCTTTATAAATAGTCAGAGTTTATGGGATATTTTCAGATTTATTTGATCTCCATTGATCTTTGAATATTTGATGAATTTACGAAATATTCGAGATTCTTTGAGAAAGACAATATTTGATATCTTCATGATCTATTTGAGAATATCCAACAATGTATGAGATATTTGATATCTTGATCTTTATAAATAGTCAGAGTTTATGGGATATTTTCAGATTTATTTGATCTCCATTGATCTTTGAATATTTGATGAATTTACGAAATATTCGAGATTCTTTGAGAAAGACAATATTTGATATCTTCATGATCTATTTGAGAATATCCAACAATGTATGAGATATTTGATATCTTGATCTTTATAAATAGTCAGAGTTTATGGGATATTTTCAGATTTATTTGATCTCCATTGATCTTTGAATATTTGATGAATTTACGAAATATTCGAGATTCTTTGAGAAAGACAATATTTGATATCTTCATGATCTATTTGAGAATATCCAACAATGTATGAGATATTTGATATCTTGATCTTTATAAATAGTCAGAGTTTATGGGATATTTTCAGATTTATTTGATCTCCATTGATCTTTGAATATTTGATGAATTTACGAAATATTCGAGATTCTTTGAGAAAGACAATATTTGATATCTTCATAGTTTTTTCTAGTATTTGGGCCAAATCTCATTATTTGGGATCTTTTGAAAATTGAAATTTTACACCAAACTTTTATCTTTTACAAAAACACCCTCTATAGTAATTGTTTGTGTTATATTACATAATTTTTTACGTGAACACCAAAGTAGTGATGAAATATTCAGTGAATATGAAAGTGATGATATGGTTGTTGATGAAAATGATGAACAATCGGCTCAATGTAACAAAGTCATGTGCTTTGTCTACTTCACGATGTATGAAATAATGTTTGTTGCACTCACTCCAAACTACCACATTGCTCTAGTGGCATGGAAACTACTTGTTATTTGTTGCAACGAAGATCCAATTGACTTGTAATACAAACTTATGGTTAGTTTTGATAGTTTTTAAAACTTATGGGTATAAATCATATTTTTCTAAAAAGTGAAATATATTTCACAAATATTATGGCCAAACACATGGTGAAATTTCACCCAAATAATATTTGCGAAAAATATTTGGAAATCTATGGCCAAACGCTAGCCTAGTATTTGAAAATTTGGAATATTTGTCAAATAATGACAAATTGTACGGACAAATACTATTTGCCAATTTTTTCTCCAAATATTACCTATGGCCAAACATGTATAGTTTGATTTCCTTGAGAGTTTAGATGTTTGTATTTTTTTTTGACGAAAACGTACATAGACAAATCCTAGACATAAAATTATGATAACAACAGGTCTAATTTACTTGTCTTGAACTCAAATGAGAATTTTCAAAGTACAAAAAGTCAGCAATGGCACCTTACCTACCATAGAAAAGTAATGCTCCCATGAAGACATTAGCAAAATCAGAAGTTTCAAAATCCTTGTTTAACTATTTACTGGTTTCTGTTGGACATGTTCAATGTCTCTGCTAAAATGTACAGTATTAAAAATTTCGACTGATTTTCTGTTACTGTCCTTAAATATTCTGAAGTTCTTTATGAGCATTGACACCATCCACCAAGTAACCATGGATACTTTGAGAGTGTAAGTTAAATGAAATTAATCGTTGAGTTAAAATGCGGGTTCAGTAAAATTACTCCTTTCACAATTTTCATCTTTCTTCATATGAATTACTTATTGCCTTTGACAGAAGAGACGAAGTAAGAAGCACGTCTAATAATTGTTCTAGGATGGTCAGTCGCAAAATTGCTTTTGGTGGTATAGCAAATCAAGACAGCTAAAAGGAGCAGTGTAAATCATTGTACAACTTAATTTGTTTGTTCTCTGATGTGTAATTTTTATATTGCATGTACAATTTTTAAAGAACATACAAGCTTTCTGGAAAAAGAATTGGGAAGTGAGCTGAGATACTTGGAAGGACAATAGAAAATTTATGCGAAAAAGACTGAAGGGGAGCAGATTAACCATTTGCCATATATGACTTCCGCTTCCTTCAATCGTACCGAAAATTTTAGCTTTACATTTTTCATGTACTACTTTATTCTTTTTCTACTCTTTATTGATATTTTTCATTGCCGAATGACTATGCAAATTACATGTTATTTGAAAATATAAAATGTTGGGCCCGTGCCATGCCCATCTAGTATATATATATAATGTAAGTATTTTAATATAATCGATAGTATATTTAGTATATATTAGAAGTATATATATAATACAACTATAAAAAAATTCGGGAAAGTAATCCGCCACAAGAATGAATAGAGAAGGTGATAAGGGTCACCTTATTTAAAGCCTCAAGAAAATTGAAAAAAGCCATATCTAGTTCCATCTATTATAATAGTATATCAATTATTATTATTTTAGATATGATTCTCCAGATCGTATCTATAATAGTTTCATTGAATCTTATTCTTCTAAGTATGATGCATGCAGAGGCGGATTTAGGATTTCGAGTCACTGGGTGCCAAGTAGAGGCGAACCCACATGATTTGATAGGGGTGCACCCATTAACTTTGAA